ACCTGTAGCTACCCCCACGGTTCAGCAACAACGCTTTGGTTAACACGCGAGGCTTCTGGTCTGCCGCTGTCCCTTCCCGCCCATCTACTATATTCGGCAGATTGAGCCAGGCACTTACCGACAGGCGACGTCTTCAGATCCCCCTTCAGGTGCAGCTAACTCACCCCACGGACTAGGCCGCTAAAAGAGTCAGCGCTGAGCTACAACTTCGCTGTTTACACAATGACACCCGGCCCCGGCAGCGAGTCAGCAACACTATCGAACGAGGCAGCTACAAAACAGGATAGTCGTAACCTTGGCCGGTCCGACGTTCCCTGCAGCTGTGTTACACCCGTACGCTCGGCAATTAGTCGACTATGCACCGGCTACCAGTTCTACCAGTCCGATGCTCCGTCGCCTTGCGTACCTCCCTCCCTTCTTTGCCAGGCTCGCACTACTTCTGAAGCGCCTGATGACCCTGGCCGGACAACTGATAGCGCCACCAACACAGCAACTCAAACCCACGACTGTGACGAGCAGCGATGGCCACGACCCGGACCTCAACTCCTTACTGCCACTTAAAAAAAACGAGGGTGAATCCAACGCTGGAGCTCGACCAGGTACGCACACGAGGGAGTCAAGAAAACTACTTGCACCAGTGGGAGGAGCAACTAACTGGATCCGCTACTGGAGCCCGGGCAGACACACGGCCATCCCCGAGATCCGCTCTCCCACGCACGGCCCCCAACGTTTTGAGAGGCAGAGGTGGCCTGAACCCTCCGCCAGAACACAAAAGGTACACTGGCAATGTATTCGGCCTCCCTGCGCGCGGCCCTCACATCCTCTGCTGCCAAAACGAACCACCACCCTTCAAATCAACCCCGCCCCTGAAATCGCCGCTTTCAAAACTCTTCTCCCGTCGGTTCCGCTCAGTAACCGAGCGCGGTGCTTGCCCTCCAATCGCTACCAAACTTGCTCCCGCCATAGCCCTGACGCACCCCTTGCCTCTACTAACTCCTATCGTGCTACTCTAACACTAAATCTAACCCAACTATTGCGCTCGCACGGCCACAAATCCGTCAAATGGCAACTTTTCCCGCTCGATTCCGTTAAGAACCGAACGAACTACACTCCCTTGACTGCGCCTGATCCCCTTCTCCGCAGATTCCTGCCTCCCCTCTTTCGTTTGTATGCATTCGGCGTGTTTTAACGCCCGGGTTCATTCGGTCCCCTAATGCTGTCGGCCGGTCCTTGCCCCGCTTCGTTATCCTCAGCGCCCGTCGCCGGCTACCTCCCCCACTCCCCTTCCGCCCCGATACCCGCCGCCATGATCCCTTCTGCACCCTCTCCAATCCGAAAGCACCTAGTGCAGCCCCACGTCCCGGTTCACTCATCACTTTACCCCTACCGTCTTATTGTAGCACGACCACCGACCAACACCGACCTTCTTCCCGCCTAAGCCATCTCCTTCACGCTTCCCTTGCGTGCACCCCGCGCCCAAACCAGTCCAGATCCCTTCTCTTCTCCACCATCCTCCCTGTTGCCGTCACCCCGGCCCCCGGACATTGTGCAGTCCGACAGAGCATTCGAGTGCCAAAAAACGGAGAGAAAGATATCCGGCCGTCGAACCTTTCATAATTTATGCGCGTCCTCCTTGCGCACAGGCCATGCAAATCTTCTCTGTATCGTTTCAATTTTAACAGATGTCCCGAAGGACTTCGCACTGGTCGGCGCCCCCTTCGCCACCACAGTAGGCTGCCGCCGGGCGAATCTAGCCGCGGGGTGATCCGAATCAACCTCCACCCCTCCCTGTCTACACGCACCCGGCGCGACCTGCGTCCAGGTTCATTCCAGGCCCTCTGGGTATCACCCTTGCACAACGACCATGCGGTAACTTGTTTGCCACAGTATCATAGGCCACTCGGCCTGTCCACCTTCCCTCACCACTTTTCGCACGCCCCTAACCTGGTTCACGTCCGGGTTCACTCCCGAACTTTTGCACATGTCACCCCCATGCCCAGGTGTCGGGCGGACCTCCTCCATATCATCCCGATTTCTAGCGGATGTCCCGAAGGGCCTGGCCACGACGGTACCCCACCAACGGCTCCTCAAGGTTTGGGCAACCGTTAGAGGTACCGCGCCCCAAGTCAAAACGGGACCGCGAATAACAATAGAATAAAAAAAAAAAAAGGGTAGCAAGGGTAGAATAAAGTAATCATATAAAAACCTGGGCAAGGAGCGGGGACTGCTAGTACCCTGCCAGTCCCGTAAATTGGGCCCGTTAACACGCCCATTTACAAAACCGGAGGGCATAGCCCCGTCGGGCCTTCAACCCCTCGGTTTTCTCCATAGTGCTACACTGCTGCTGCGTCGACGCCCACTGGCCTCGATCCCTGAAGCCCCGTAGCAATAGCCCAACACCGTAACCTATAGGGCTAAGCCCAAGCCTGAGACAGGTGGGCACAAACTTCTAGGTAAGGTGGTGCCGAACGATGCCTAGGTCTGGGAAAAACAGCCTAGGCCCCCTTTCCCTGCCTACAACCGGCGTGCCCACACCAGGCACCCGCGCCGGCTTACTCAGACCGAGCCGCGACCACCCCGCGCACCTGTCGGTGCGCCAGTCCTACCGTCGGTCACGCGCGCCAACCGAAAATGAACTTTTTATTCCCTAATCAATCCGTAGCGCGGCCTGGGTCGGTCGACCAGACCGGCCGCCTACTCAATCAGAAAAATCACACGCGCGCCTCAAAATTGCGCACCCACACACCTCCTAGCTTGACCAAGCGGGTTCCGGACGTGGTCGCGCCTCGCACGACTTATTTCGACCAACCCCATTTTTCCTGTCATCTGCAAAGACCAGGGCGGTTACCCTTGTAAGGGTATTCGAGCCGACAGCCTACCGGACTATATTAAGCAACGTCCCCGTCGCTTCACCAAATCAGATAGCTATAGATTCATTCATACCTCAAATGCTGACGAGAAGGGAACCAATCTGATTAGCCGACAGACTCAGGGTTGAGGTCTCCAACAATCTGTGCCGACATAACTATATGCTGTCACGATTTCAACCTGGGTTTCCATTGTCCTGACGCTAGGACGCCAGTGCATTACGCATCAATACTACTGCATAAGTTCCGAAGGCCTCCTCAAACCGTCCTCTTCCCTTCGTCCTAGACAAACTTCGGCTTCTCGTTGAGTGCCCCTGTTAGACTTTTTCTCGTAAATAGAGTCATGCCCAGGGACGCGGGCCTTAGACGAGACCTCAGAAGACACTCTCGCCTTCCTCGAGAAAATTTCCATAATCAAACAAACACATATATATATATATATATATATATATATATATATATATACACTCAACCTTATCTTAGCTCATTCTGCGGTCTAGTACAGAATTGCTAGGTCTACATCCTGGTCCACCATAGTCTGGCTGATCGAGCCAGATCTACGGCTTATCGCATTGTTATTTTAGCGATAGTATCCTTCGCTGGTTATGCAACGATAGGCTTCCTCCTGATAAGCATCCAATCAGGACAACCAAACTCGACTCGTATCCCCCGCCATCCCACCGGAGAAATTTTCCCCGAGGCGTGCATAACCCCTTAAACTCTTACCTCGTTGGTAGGCGTGGGCCCGCAGCCAGGTTGTGCTGGCTTGCAGTCATCCAATATGGGTTGCGCCCTAGAGGTGCTAACCTTTACCGTTTAGCTTGGTATTCCCCAATATGCCTTGGAATTAGCACAAGTGTCTAGACGGTGCGTCGCAAAACAAACCACGGGCCCACTGCGGGACTACGCAGGGGTCTGTCTCACTTTTAAAGGGATTTACCAGCCCCCTATGGGACAACATAGAAAGCATGGCCCCCTCTCACAATCACAAACAAATCCACCGCTAGGCTCACACGAGGCCGTGGCCTACTGACTTGATCAAAGACAGCGGACCACACATCCCACGACATCTTTATGCACTGACTTGCGACTTTCTCAGCCCCACCAATGATTCATCATGTAAATCTGGTTTCTCTCGTCAGACTTTATCAGTTCAAACATTGCTTTCCATGCCCTTAAATCTATTGACCCCCTTTTCTTATGACGGAGGTCCCCCTCAACAGGTCTCCCAGCCACCTCTCTCTTTACAGGATGGGCTATCACGCGACCTGGGTTTTATAACTGTCAATAACCAATATTTCCACCTTCCATAATCTGAAGGGGTCTCAACCATAAAACAACTCAACTGAGGGCCTACTTAAGAGCCCTACTTCAACTCAAACATGAAACAAGCTCAAACTGAGGGACCAACTTATGAGTCCCCTTCATAACTTGGCCATAAACATTCGGCATGGTAAGCACTCGAGCCTTATGGGCTCGCAAGACCCCTTAGGGTCCTCACACATCTGTCACAAAACAACCGCACTGCCTCCTCTTATACTCGGTCGTTTCACCTGCCTTTGGAGTAGACGGTATCATATTCACACAGCACAAAATACATGAGATGTATCCCACACACCTCTCACACAAAGCCATCATACATTGGGATAAAGCCACACATGTAAGAGTGATCGTGATCGCCACAAGGGTAAATCCCACAGAGTCTGGGATCGAAGATGTACGCGGGAGCAAAATATATCCCTCAAGTCTCAATACAAACACTCAATTCAAACCCTCAACACACAACTCGTAGGTTGTACTTGGGAATAGAATGTCTGCCTCGGGATCAACCCAACACTTGGTTCACTGTTTCACCAAGTGTTATGGGCTCTCAGGATCCACTCAAAATATAAACAAGGTTTTTAAACCCCCAAAACTAATGCACAAGTCACATAGTCACAGGTATCACACAACCAAATCTCATCTCCTACATCGTATCACAAACACCAAAAAGCTCAAAACCCGATCAAGCACTGCCACCTATATATGCACAACTAGACAGGACTCTCTCGGTGGACTCAAGCATGCACACCTCTAGACTCCTGTCACTCCACTCGACTGACTCGAAGTATATACACCCCTAACACGACCTCTGCGTACAAAGGAGCCCTAGTCCTACTGTCATATAGGTGGCCAGTCCCTACTCACTCATGACCTCCTGGTTCTGCCTATACAGTTGTGCCCTACCCCCATCATGAGCTCACTCCACCCTGTCTATCATACATCCTTTCACCACTCTCTATCACTCTCCCAGCCGCCTTGTCCTTGAGGAACTTTGGGCATTCGAGAGCCCTATGTACGCCATGCTTGCAGAAGAAGCACTGATCATCCAACCTCCTCTGACACCTTCTCTTCTTCTTCTCAGACCCCGGCAGCGACGGCGTCTCACTGGCCTTCCTGCTCATCTCATGGCTCTGGGGCATACTCCATGATTCTGTCGGTCTCGCTTCCAACATCGGGGTACTCGGCCCCGCTCGCATCTCGCCTTCCTCAGGCTGATACGCCGGAGTGCCCAATCTCTGCGGCCTACCCTCACGGACCCCTTCCACCACCATCGTCCCCTCGTCTCTATGCGGGTCTGAACGTTGGGGAGACATGATGGCCACTGGCTCACTCATAACCTCCTGCAGTTGCTCTGAGATGTGCTCTCCCGTGTCAGCTCCAGTAGCCCAGGAGCCTAACTGTGTCCTCAACTCCCCCATCTTTGGCGCACGCTCCGGGGTCTTGTGTCTCTGAGGCCCCTCTGACGGCATGTCCAATTCCATGGCTGCCACTAACTCATCCAAGCGAGATGCCTCTTCCTCCATTGCCTCAGGCTCAGTGGACGCTGCCGCCCCCGTAAGGGTACCTTCCTGTACCTCCAAAAGCATTGTAGGGGACTCCTCTGCAAGACCCCCTTCCACTAGTGGGGATTGGGGTCTTTGCGTGGGCTCGACTGCAGGGGTCTCAATCGTCATCGGGGTGGCTAGTTGCGAGGCCAACTCTGTAGGAGCCCTGAAGCTGAAACTCCCATCCTCATCCTTCTGTCTTGCTTCCACTTCTGCTGGGTCCAGGAATACCTTCTTCATTCTCTCTTGCTGAGATGGCTTTGTCGTCCCTCCCTGGTCGAAGAGTCCCAGTACTTCCTTTCCGTGGATACCATATCGGCTCTGCTCTATCCAGTCGACCACCTTGGTGGCCGAGAGCCTCTCCACGATCGCCGCCATGTCCTGGAGCCTTTTCTCCCATTCCGCCTCCTTGGCCTCCATGCGGGACCTCCAAGCTTGGTTCTCTACCCTTTCTTCCGCCAGCTGGGTAGACAACTGCTCCACCTCCAACCTCGAGGCTGCCAACTCATCACTGAGCATGGAGTACCGCTGGAAGGACGTGGTTGCCACCTGGCGTATTCTCCTATCTGTGCGCTCGATCGCCATCCTGGTGGCTGAAAATCCTAGGTCCGCAGTCTCTCCCATCTCATCTGCCCTCTGGTCCTCCTGCCCTGCCTCTCGCGATCTCTAACGACCAGCATCCCTCTTACCCTCATAACTAGCCCATATCTCATCAATCCTATGTTCGCTCGTCGGGGGGTCGATTGGTGGCTTCGGCGCTTCCCCTGCGGCCTCCATCCTAATCTTCTCCTGGTATATCTCCTCGAGGCGCACCTGCACTCTTGCGAAGTTCTCCTCCGCCGTCTCCCTTGGTGGCCTCTCCGCTTGCGTCCAGCGGGCCTCCCGCAGTGGAACTCCTGCATTCACCCCCTCCTTTGCGTGTGGCAACTCTGGCGGTGGCTCCTCGGATGTCGGCATCTCAGTGTCCAGGGGCTCAGCTGCATACTCAGTTAGCTATGGTGCCACAGTAGTAGATGTCCTCGCCCTCTCGCTTTCCTCTCGCCCCTCTGGCTCTGCCTGCGTCTGAGGCGGCGTAGTAGCTTCCAATGGCGGTACTGGAACTTCCTCGCTATCCGGCTTGGGGATTCTTTCAGGCCGGTACTGCGGTACCTGCTCCGGGATCGGGGTAGGAGGGGGAGTATCGTCCCCAACAGTAATAAACCCCTCAGTCCGCGGCTCCTCTGGCCCATGCGGCCCAACTTACGGCTCCGGCTCAGGCGTCTCTTCTACCGGTCCATATCGTGCGGGCTCGCCTGGGTCTGCCCCTAACTGCGAAGTCCTCATCTGGGACGCATCGAGGTGGGCCTCCAGGTTATTGAGTGACGTCCCCAATGGTACAGTCTCCCTCTCCTCTCGCAGTGTCGGCGACGGACCCCGTAGGTCACTGCCCGTGATCCGGCGAAACTCCACCTGCTCAAGTTCGTGGGTAAGGGGTAGCTCTGCTACCTGAGCCGGCCCTGCGGCCTGAACTGGCTCCATCGTCTGGGCGGGTTCTGCCGGCCCCTCTCGCAGCCTTTCCTCAGCAGCTCTCACTTGCCCTGCCCGAATATCGAGCAGTTCTTCAAAGGACAAGTTCACTTCCAAGTCCTGGCGCCTCCACGTCTTCATAAAACTTTTTATGGGAAAGGTGGCATGCCTCCCATACCATAGCGTGGCCGGCGTGTACTTGGTAGTCCTCTTTACTGTAACGTTTTCTACGAAGAAAGCCGCTCGTAGGAACTTCGGCCACTGACTAGGCTTGCCCTTCGTCCACTTAGCCAAGAGATTCGTGATGGTACTGTGCCCCCTCTTCACAGGTGCATTCACTTGAGGATGCGCGGCCGTAGTATAGTTAGCCACTACGCCATACCCTACAAGTAAAGTTCGCACCTCATTGCAGGTGAACTCCGACCCTCGGTCCATTACGAACTCTTTGACGAAGAGGTAGCGCAGGTATACTCTTCGATGCAGCTTGCCAAAACCGGGTCAGTCTTCGTTCGAATAGCCCGACCGTCCACAAACCCTGTAAGGTTATCCTGTGCATCGAAGATGTAATTACACCCGTTCTCCCCAACTGGCATGAACAACAGGTTCAGGTGTACGACCGCACCCACTTCCCTCTCCAACCTCGGGTGCAGGGGCTCTCCGAGCCTTTGCGCTGACCTCTTCTGGCAAGGTACACAAGACTGGCAATACTTGATGACCATAGTTAGCATCATACCCAATGGTAAAACTCGCTTATCTTCGTGCATGTGGCACCTATCCCTCTGTGCCCTCCTGCTAGACCATCATGTAGGGCTGCTATAATACAGATCTGCCGGTTCCTCCCACATACAATCCGTTTGGGATTTCCGACCTGCCGCTTTATAAACAGATGACCATCTCTTACTACGTAGAGGTGCCTCATCTTCTGCGCTTTGGCACTTACGTCTTTATCCCTTATCTCACATGATAGGAGCAGCCCCAACTCCCGGTAGATTCCATCATATTCCTCCGTCCGAAATGCCTCCTTGATCTCTCCCTCTTCGAACTCATCGTCCTGGCTTTCAGGAACATGAATTTCACTTTCCTCAGGACTGAATGAGCCCTTCCGGTCGAAGTTTCCTCGCAGGAGCGTATTAGTGAGCAGATACATCCCTCCCATTAGCTGTTCATGCTCCTCTACCTGAGTGGGGTCTTCCTTTATTATCCTCACTTCCTCCACCAGACTGTGTGTACCTTCCAATGCCAACTTCATCATCCAGCCGACCTCCTTGCTTCCCCACGGATCCTCCTCTTGGAAGAGCTTAAGGACCAACTCCTCCTTTTGCTCGTACCCCTTAGGCGCTAGCCATATGGGGTGACTGACACAACTGGGTACTCACAGGGACCATTCGTTTATATGAAGGCGGATGTCCTCCTCTTGATCCAAAAACCCATCAACTGGCGGGGTGTCTTCTATCGATTCCTAGTCCGATCCGTCCCAGTTGATGCGGCTTAACCCATCTGCCCTGTTCTTGTTTCCTGAGATTCTTTCCAACTCGAAATTAAACATCCAAATGTAGGTCAACCATCTCACAAAGGTTGGGTCAGATGGAGTATAATTCTTCAGGGAATATGTCAGTGCAGTAGGGTCCACCCTCAAAATGAGTCTCCTGCCGAAAACATAGTTCCGGAAGGTCCTCAGGCAGTGAAGTACCGCCAGCGTCTCCTTCTTAAACTGAGAGTAGTTCCTCTCAGTTGTATTGATGGTACGACTTTCAAACCTTAGCGACCTTTCCTTCCCTTCAGTATCTGCCTGAATCAGGACTCCTCCCAAGGCAGTTGGCCCAGCGTCTGTCTCGATAACGAATGGTCTTTCCTCCGTGGCCTCATAGTTTGGCGTTCCCAATACCAAACCCCCTTCCTTAAACTCTCCCTTTATCCTACCGACCGCCTCTTCTTGGTCTTCGCCCCAGACCCACTCCTGGTCCTGACGCACCAACTTCCTTAAGTGCTCCGTCTTCGTGGCAAAATCCTTCACGAAGCTCCTCCAAAATCCACACGTCCTAAGGAAACTCCTCACATTTGTTATCGAATGGAAGGGCACTGGCCACTTAATGATCTTGTCTGTCTTCTTTACATCAGGCCTTCGCACAGTCTCATTATAGACAAAGCCTAAAATCGTGGCCTCCCTCATACAATGTTTGGACTTGGGGCCGCTTGCCGTCAGGTTGTATTCCTCCAATAAACTCAGAACCTGATCGATGTCCTGGACATGCTTTCAGACGAAGCGCCTCACTCCGGGCATCACTTCGTCCTCCTCCTTCTCCTTTGGACCTTTGACCGCCCGATCATCGATATAGGGCTGGGTAATGTGAGGACTAACTGTCTGCATGACCCTAATAATATGCCTTTGCACCATCGCCATTGCATTCGTCCAACCTTGAGGGGCTACATTCATATGAATCAGCCCTCTGGGTGTGTGCATCGCCGTTACAGGCCTGTCTGGCGGGTATACAGGAAATTGGTTGTACCCAAAGGAGAGGTCTATAAGCAAAATTAAAGGCCTCCCCGCGCACGACTCCGACAGCGTGTCCGCATTCTGCAATCCCCCGGCATCCCGCAAAGTCACGACAGTCAGTCGTTGTAGATCCTGCACCCACCGCAACGTCCCATTCGGCTTGATAAAGCAAAACCAGGGCGAGGCATACGGCCCGCTGGAGTAGTCGGTGACGTGTGTGCGCATCTTGCCGTCCAGGTAGTCCACCATCATCTTCTCTTCGTTCGGATTGGGGTACCGCGCGCCTCTTAGATTCCATGGTTCATGTGGGACTGTGTGGATCCGGATCATTGGAATCTTATCCACATCCAGCCTCCCACGCTGATCGTCATTGAAAGCATACGCGCGATGCCTTTTCCTCATCAACCCCACCATCAGGGCTCTCTCCTGGGGCGAAAGAAAATCAGGCTCCTCGATTATCAACTTGTCCTCATTCTCACTGTTGATACGATATGGACCATTGGCCGCTTGCTCTCGCATGCGTCACATCAACCCCCGTTCCCGCTCGTAATAAGCTTCCTCGTCTTCAATAACGAGCACGGGAACTGGGCCACACTTCTTATCTACTATCTTGTACCGCCTTTGGGAGCCCTGCTTAAGCCGCCCCCTAAAAAAGGTCGGCTTCCCGTTTGTGTCTGTGCCATCGCCGGCCTCCCCTGCCGCCTGGAAGCCGATAAACCAACTCCACTTCTCCTACCTGAGGATTCTCCAAAACCTGCTCCCTCAGCGCCTTGATGGTCTCTGGATCCGCCATATCGTGTGCTGACACCACTTCCATAGCCTTATTCACATCTGTAAGGCTCAGTGTCAAAACTTCGGCTCTGTCTTCCTCCTCGGGCACTTCCCAAAGCCTTCTTCGCTCGTTCTCCGACTCCTCAAAGGTGAACGAGCCGAGATTAGGCTTATTCCTTCCACTTCCTGGCCCCGTGTTCCGGCAAGTGATAACTTCATAATTCTCGCACGCCGGGTCACATAGGAGCAGGATCATCGTCCCATCGTGCTTATTGAAGATCAACATCTCTGTTCGGCACAGGAACGACCGCCCCAGAAGAATGGAATGATCGACATCGAGCATGACGAAGAATTTTTATCTCCTTTAGAAACTAAGAAATATAATCTATCTCCTTTAAACTAAGAAAATGTCGGTAGCGCTTCCAGTAGGAAAAGTGCCTTTTCAGAATTTTTATCAGCCCGAATATGAAAACAAAAATAGCTTTAGGTTTTCCAAAGTCCAATTTTGTTTAACCCTTTGAATTAGCAAAAATTTGGGCAATACTCCCTTTAGAAAAGGAGATTTCTCAGATTTTTACTAAGTCATATACGAACCTTAGATAAGTTGAACTTTGAAAAGTCATAATTTTGGTTAACTCCTTGGATTTGCAGAAATTTCGGCAGCGCTTCCCGTAGAGAAAGTAGCTTACCAAAATTTATACAAACCCAAGTATAACAAACGATCTCAGAAAATGCGATAATTGATCTAAGTAAAATAGGGTCAATTTAGAAAATGCAGCAATCGATCTAACTCCTATCGCTCTAGCACGTGACGAGCCTCTTAAGCAACTACCTATCAACCTGAGACTCAGACCAAGTAGTTGCCTCACTCAGCCACATGCAATGCCAAACCACAAAGATAAAGTACTCTCACCAACCCCAAGTCAACTTAGCAAACAATAGTTCGATGATTTAACCCTTTGTACCCAACTTACATAGGGCGTAAAGTCAGGCCATCCAATCTCATGGAACATGCCTGACCCATCCATTGAATATACACGGACAGGTTGCACGACTACTTCTCTCTTCCTTTTGGGCACATGACTAAGCCATTCATCTTAGAAACAAAGCTTAGTCGCCCTGAGCTGTTTAATATCAAAGTTATATATAGTTCTCTGACTTAGTGTTCAAGCACTGGGCGTAAGACTGGGCCATTCATCTTAGAAACAAAGCTCAACCTGCCCAAAGTTACCTTCAGTTATACTCTTAATTATACTCTCTTCAACTTATG